GATTATGTAAAAATTGGGTCATTTTCGTGGATTTTCCTCTTCATGTATCGCACAAACACCAAAAGAAGAAGAAAATCTCTTTAGTGTATGAAATTTCTAAAATAATTTGCAATTTACCATAATTAATCTAATTGTTTTTGTATTAAATTATGTCGACGGCATGTGCTATTCATATAAAAAACTGATAGACTAAAAAATAAATTTTCGTTTAAAAGAATTTTTCAAAATTCTTCCTGTTTTATGAATATAAATAGCTCTTGCTACCTAGATTCTAGAATATATGTACGTTATTACAATAATATTAAACAAATATGAATATTTAGAATAATTAATAAAAAGTAATTTGATCCGTAATCGTGGCGGGACAAATTAAATTTATTTCGATGATTACTATACCTTTTTCTCATTTGCAAATGATTTGAATGAAAAATTGAGGGACATGAAAACATTACATAATACGTAAGTCATGTACATAGGGGGAGAAATTTGCGTGGGTATATAGTAGGAATGCTACCAATCCGGCAAATGACTCGTTCATCACAGGGGTTCCGGTCATTCGTGAACACGTGAAGGTCAACATCAAGGTCAGTCATCAAATCATTTACAAGCGGAATAAAAAAAAACTGTCGAGTTTACGTATGACGCAGTCCGTTCAGATAGTTCAATGACTCGCGAATAATCACTATCAAAATGGACGGCTTGTCTATACGAATATTTTAAGTTCATCTCATAAGTGAGATATAGTTTTAAATTTCAAGGACGCCTACCTAGCACAAAAAAGGTAGAGTCGGAAAAAAAAAATACTTGAATTAGGGGACTGTTTTCGTGCGATCGTTATTATTAGTACATACGAAGCTCAAATTTTAAAGATTTTAATTTGGAAAAATATGTACACTAAAGTTAATAAGACTAGGAGATTATTGGTTAAATTGGCGAGCAATTATTTATCCCCAAGGAGATGCAGAGTCGTTTTTTCTTTACATAGTAGACAGGAAATTTGTACAGCGTTCCCATCTTTGTGACGTCCAAGGAGTCGTTGGATAGGATTTGAATTAGATAGAAAGGGGAACAGGATAATTCTCAATACAATTTTTACAAGAAAAATTACTGAAAAAATGGGTAGTCCAGACCGGGATTCGAATCCGGGATCTCGTTGGGGATAAATCCCACTGACAGTTCATAGGTCCTTATCATGAAAGCAGAGATACGTAAATGAAGTTCGCCTGAGTCGAAACTCGTAAGACTGATTCCTTATTGGTCAACTCGAATCCGAAGTCGAAATTCGAATTCGGCGCGCGGAGTGCGTAGTAGATCTCGTTTTCAAAAATAGAGGAGTTTATTGCTTCAACTGTCATCTGATTGATGACAATGACAATGACTGGCACACGTTGAAGCCCGATTTCGATCTGCCCTCTGTATAAATTATTAAATTAAATACTTAATTGTTTATGTCATTACCTAGTCAGCATAATTCAGGTACGAGTGTCATACTGGCAATGCTGTATGTTCAAATATTCAACAATTAACCAAATCTGGAGCATAACACAATTCTCAGTCTAGTGCTATTGATAACAATTAATCAAGAAAAAATAACAGGTTTTATGAAGGCTATTTGAGGTTATGGTAACGATTAACCGATCTAAGGCTGATCTAAAACCGATCAACGATTAAACGATCTAGAAAAAATGTAAAAAAATAATGCAACGAATAATCCACTGAATTAAAAACTCCCCCAAAGTTTACCATTCATTTAAAAAACTATCAATCATGAATAAACTTTTTTTGTGTGTTGTGAATTCATTTTCCATTAATATACTTAAGGACTCATGCAAATTTCTCATGCACTACTTTAAATTGAGTAAAAAAAATTTCAAAACAAAAAATCGTTGAGGAATACTCATTAATGTTCAAGTGCAGATAAACTAGTTACTCCATCTGAACAAAAAGTAAGTATCCGTGACCTAAAGAGTCGCGTCATCATGATTTTTCTGTGATAATCGAGAGGTGATATTGTTCAAGGTAAAATTCAGTACCTCCTTATGGGAGTTGTTTATTTTCTCTGCTGATGTCATACACGATACTTATAGACTCTTTAGGGTAAAACTCGGTATACCAAAAAATAA